ATTATTTTTTAAAACTGTATCTCCACTGCTTAGCACAATGCCTAAATAAATGTTTATTGGATTGGGATTGGATTGGTACTGAACTAGATTCAATTTAATTCAACAAACATTTATTAGAGACAAGGTGGTATAGAATCATGGATTTAGAGCTAGAAGAGACCTTAGAGAAGTTATTGAGTCCGACTGCTTCATTTTCTAGATGAAGAAGCTAAAGCCCAGAGGATTTAATGACTTGCTCAGGGTCACATAGCTAGTCAATGTCTGAAGAGGAATTTGAATCCAAATCTTCTTCACTTCACATCTAGTACCCCATCCCCTAAAACACACTGTCTTCACCCTCTAGATGAAGACTCAAATAATAGCATGATTTGGGAAAATGCTTTTTTTTTTTTTTAACATTTCTCAACCATAAGAATTTTGGTAGTCAGGTGACAGGGATTCAAACTTTAGAAAATCTTGTGATTCCTTCTGGTTCTTCTTACCCTGTTTCAGAAGGAAGAGATAGTCAATAGTAAGAAAAGATGCATTAAGGTTAAGTAGGACAGACAAAAATGGACCGAGGAGGAGAAGTGGAAAATCTTTAGAAGGGGAAAAAGCTATATCAACAGGCAAATATTTCATGACAAAGGAAATCCCTTGAGGAAAGGGAAGAAATCACAACAAATTTTGAAAGCCCCCATTGAAAAGGACAGTGGAGCAACTCTAGAAAAGTAATATGGGTTGAGGAATGAGAAATGGTGGTTACATTTTGAAATTAAGGAGATTGTTGCCAGCCTTGGAGAGAGCAGTTTCTAGGCTTTGGAATAAGATATGACATTGCAAGGGATTAAAAAATGAGTGAATGGTAAGGTAGTAAAGGCAGCCAGTGTAAACAACTCAGTGTAGGCCAGAAGTTCTTAATCAGGAGTTCATCAACTGAAATTTTCTTTATAACCATTTCACTATAATTGGTTTACTTTGTAATTTCATGTATTTTATGTCATGACTTTCAAAATGATATTCTGAAAAGGGGTCCATAGGCTTCACCAGAATGTCACAGGTATTTATGACACAAATAAATGTTAAGAACTGCTGTTCTAGGAGTTTGTCAGCAAAGGGGACAGATATAGAATGTAATGTAAAGAGATCATGGGGGAAGGTAAAAGTGTTTTTACCTTCCTTTTTACCTTCCAAAAAAAAGGGGTTTTCTTTGTTTGTTTGCTTGTTTTTAAAGGATGAAGTCTTTAATATATTTATCGTCAAGTAGGTAGGCATCATTAGGTGAAGAGAAATTGTAAATATGAGAGAAGGAATAATTAATTGGTGAGATAAGCTCCCAAAGTAGTTTGGAAAGAATGCATCAAGGGCACAAATATGCATTTAGCCTATAAAGCAGAAGGGCCATTTCATCTTCTGAGACTAGAACAGAGAAGAGGACAGATAAAAATAGAGAGTTTTCAAGGTATAGGATAGAAGAAATAAGGGAATTAATGACAGGTATCCTCCATTTTTTTCTCAGAATAGTAGGATATAAGTCATTTGCTGGGAAGAAGGGTGTGTGGATAGGAGTGTCTTGGCAACTTGAAGTGATAGTAAAAGGTTTTGAAAGTTGCGGTGGGGAGTATGCTAGAAGATCAATCAGGAATTAATATAAAGATGACTTGCAAAAGTCAAGGTTTGGTGGACATTAGGTAATAGATGATAGTGGTGGCCCATGTCTGTGGATCATCTAGACATAAATGGCTGAAAACAAGAGGAAAGTGGTTGAGTATAGTTTCAGTGGTTACCTCTAGGGTCAAGATTATCAAGGGAGTAACTTTAAACCAGAAGGTGTTACCTTCAGTAGTGTGTTGAACTGGGGAGACAGGATTGGATGGATTCACAGAAGGTTGTGAGTGAGAAGAAGCCTTGAGAGGAGTAAGGCAGAAGGAGAGATGGAAATATAGGATACTGAATCAGAGAAATTTCAGATATCATGACCATGGAAGTGAAATAGTCTTGGATGATGAATGCACGAAACATCATTTATTAATCTCTTAGAGGTCTTTGTTCCAGACATCATGCTAAGTGCCAGGGATACAGATACAAAAAGTGAGATGGTCTTTGACTTCAGGGAGCCCATAAGACAAACCATATGGGAAGGGGTGGACAAGGAAGTAGTCTGGGGAGTTATAAGGATAATGAATTGATCCACATGACATGCCTTTCCAGAAACAATTGTAGTTTTGATTTGATGGAGACCAGAGCAAAAGGTAGAAAGCAGGGATGGTTATATGGTAGGATGAGGAGGAAAAAGAGTGTTATAGGCGCAGCACTAAGGCAGATAAGATTGTCCAGATGACTGTTTTTTTTGGCATGTGAAGTTGATTTTATCTCAGGTTGGCCAGATATAGTAGGCTTGGTAAGTTTACTTTTGCTCAATTACCAGTCAAGATGACTGAAAATTGAGAGTACTAAAGCTAAGTGGATTGACTCCCTCAAGGAATGATTGAATTGCTGGATAAAAGAAATAGGAATGAGAGCTGGCTAGCTACAGGCTAGGGAAAATACCACATGAAAATAGCAATTCCAGGGGCTTCCTGTTGCCTCTGGGATAAAATATAAACTTTTCTGTTTAGCTTTCATAGCTAAACAGCCTTCATAACCTTTGTAGCCTTCATAACTTAGCCCCAACTTCTCTTTCTAGCTTCATTGGACACTGTTCCCCTTCCCACATTTTGTGTCTAGTCAGATTGGCCTTCTCCCAGCCCCTAACCCCGACACCATTTCTTCTTTCGGTGCCTTTGCACTAGTGGTCTATCGTTTCTGGAATGCTCTTGCTCCTTTTCTTTTAAGATGGAGCTCAAGAAGTACATTTCCAAAGTTGAGAAGATAAGAATGATTGCCTTATTAACCTTTATGATAGAAATCCAAACAAAGCTGTGCCTATTTTTAATTGATCACAAATTTCCTTAAGTACTATATTCTCCAACAATATAGATGAATAACAACTCAAATCATATATTAACACAATCATACATATATACTTTTTGAATGTTGGAATTAGGTTACTTATTCATGTTATTAACATTATGTAAAGTGACATTATATGGGGGAAATTCCTATTCCCAAAATAACCGGATCATTTTTTGTTTTAGCCTAGTGATTAATATAGGCACATTAGCTAAACACGGGAATTTGGATTTTCTGAATGTTTAATACATGTTATTAAGACATTGACTGATGCTGATAATTATCTGTTAAGATGAATATTGGCTGTGGTTAGAATTTTAATCATAGCATACACCAAAACACAAAATAAAATCCCAAGTGATGAGAAATGAACTTGGCAATACAGCTTGAGGTGTGAGATAGCAGTTTCAAATACTGTTTAGGGAAATATAGTATTTTGCCATTATCAGTGAGCCATGAGGTTGGTAGTTTAGGAAAGTATATGATTGTGGATCTCTAGGCTGTCTTATATAATTACATATAATGACTAAAGTAATCACATGCTCCATCAGCCAAAACATTTCTTCTGTTTTCCTAATCAGTCATACAACAAAAACAAAATAAACACTTTACATTGAGTTAAAAATAAACCTGCAAGCATTTAAGTCTGGCACGAGTCTGTTAGACATTAGAGAAGTCTAGAAATATGTGTGCCACTCCAATTAGTGGGCCTTATACATTTAGGAGCACATACCGCAATCAAATGAATTTGTAAGTTCTTCATATGTCTTTCGTGATTGAATAGTATAACTACATAAGGAATCATTTTTTGATCCAAGATCTCCAGCTAAACAATTTTTACAATTAATTAATTTTACAGTGATTTTTCAGCTTCGTACTATCTTTCCCAGAAAAACAGTGTGTGACTTTATAATGTATAATTATCAGACAGATGATTGTTAACTTTCATTTGTTAACCATTAGCAAAGCTTGCACGATCATGGCTATAGGATGATTTAACTATAACTTGTTCTCCTGGTCATATTTCACTTATCTCTGCCAGTCTTCCTTTTGCTTCCTGGCCTGCTAATTGTTTTATAATTATTGGGTGCAATCGAAGAACCAATATTTCTTCATCTCTGGTGAGACCCACTGTCAGCCAACTTTTTCTTCCAAGGCCCACTTCTGGTCTGTTCTGTCCTGTTCTATCCTTCTGTCTGTCTGGAAATTTAAAGCTAATAGGTGCTCTAGACTTTTGCCTTTGCCTATCTGTGTCTCTATAAGACGGCACAATAGAAAAAGAGCTTTGGATTTGGGTTTGAATCCCAACTTTGCCCTTGTAGAAGTCACTTTGTCTCCCTGGGCCTCAGTTTCCTCATCTGTAAAATGATTCAGTTGGACTAGTTGGCCTCTAAGATCCCTTTGAACACTGTGATCTATTATAAATCAATATGATTTATTAATGTCCATTCTCTCTTGAAAATTTCTGAAAATACAATGATCTTGTTCTTTGCGTTCATAGATAACTCATGATGTTTTTTGTCAGGGGGATGCTTAATGAATATTTTGAGAAGGTAGCATGATAATGTGGAAGGAACATTAGACTTAGGATGGAAAGTTAACATGTGATCTTAAGTATCTTTCAGCTTCTCCAAGATTTTTGTTTGTCTCAGTTACAATTTTCTTATCTGCAAAATGGGGACAATAACACTTGCACTAGTTGCCTCAAAAAGCTATTGTGAGGTTTAGATTCAACAATATGCAAAGTGCTTGATAATAATCAAGTACTTTACCCATGAGAGCTATTATGAACATGCTTTTATAAAGATTTTTATGGCTGGGGTCTTTTGTGTTTAATGTTTCGGTGTGGTCACATAAAACACAAAAATAAAGAATTTCCGAGCTTAATTAACTTTTTCAGTGAAATGATTTCTGTAGATCCCAAAGGCAACTAATAGAATGCCATTGGATAACATTCCCCAGCAGCATGATTAAGTTCCTATGTTTGATTACCATCTGGTCTGTTGAATAAAGCTACCATTATGTTGATGGAATATGGTTCTCACTCAAAAACGTTCTGTTTTCCACAGGCTTCTGAACAACAACCAAATCATGAAGATTTCCAGACATGCTTTTGAAGGGCTTGAAAACTTGCTCTATCTGTAAGTCACAGGAAAAATCAATGATCCTTCCCGGGGTGCTGAGTGATTGCCTTCTCCTCCTCTTCCTCTTCCTCTTCTTCCTTCTTTGAAAAGTAATGCATAATCTATTTGGGAAAATAAATTGTTACGTTACATTTCTCTTTCTCCAACATGTCCAAGACCCCCTTAGGTGGAAGTATGGTCTCCAGATCCCCATCTGAAAATCTTTGGGCCCATTTCTAATGAACCTTGTCTTGGTTTCCCAAACCTTAAAGGAAAAGAAACCAGAAGAGAAATTGTCAAATGCTTTACATTCATAGCTCACTAGACAAGCCTATTTCAAAATCATGCACATTAAAAAGAAAGAGTGGTGTAAAAAACACAGCCATCCTTGAAAAAACTTTCCTTCTAAACCTGGGGATGATAATAGAAGAAACAGCTTTGATGAGCCTGTATATGAACCAAGTTTGGGATCAATTAGTTTAAGAATATGACTACAGGGGACAGCTAGGTGGTGCAGTGAATAAAGCTCCGGCCTTAGAGTTAGGAGGACCTGAGTTCAAATCCAGCCTCAGACACTTTACACTTAGTAGCTGTGTGACCTTGGACAAGTCACTTAACCCCAATTACCTCACCAAAAAAAAAGAAAAAGAATGTGACTACAGACAATCATATTTCCCATCTATGACTGCCTTGAAAAGGGGGAGAAAAAGGAGCTCAAAATGATTACCAATGTAGTCTTATTTGCTTATGATAAGTGGATAGTGATAACATGTTTGCTATAAGGTAAAATTCTAGTTTTATTTTCTTATCACAAATTGCTTATTAGTAGGTTATGATGGAATATCATTACATGGAAAAGCTAGGGAAAAATGGAAGAATATCAAAAGGAAATCAGAATGATGTGATTCTGTTGGAGAGAGAAATATAATTGGCTTTCACTATTATCATAATATTATTTGAAGGCCAATAAACATGCAGCTTTAAAAAAAAGCACTTTCTCCTCTAGTTTCCCCTTGCTCCACTTTATCATGTGTTAGAATTTTCCTTAAACACTTGGCATTTCTATCACTCTCCAGCCTACTGTGTCAAACCCCAAAACTCCTCAGGCTAGTATATAAGACCTCACACAAGCACCTCACCATTTTTATTCCTTATTCCTCCCCCAGATACTGTGATACAGTTGAGGTGATATTTGTTGTACCCTAATGCATCTTAACTCATGGTCAGCCCAAAGACTTTTTAGATTGCATTGCATGTATATGCTTTCCCCCTCTCCACCAAACCATATCTTTTATCTCTTTCAAAACCTAACTCAAAACTAATCTCCAGAAAGCCTTTCACAACTGAGCAGTCCAGACTGCTCTATTCTTTCCTCGAGTCATGTTTAGGATGCCTCAGAACTTAAATATATTCCCTTTGTACAGTATTTCATTTCAGTGCAATTCAACAAATATTTTAGGACATCTGCTAAAAATGGGGCCTCTGGTAGGCACTTGGGACAAAAAGATGAGCAAAGATACAGCTACTGCTTTCGAAGAATTTATAATCTAATAAGGGAAGTGAGGCCGTGTGAAAACAAATAAAATAAAAAGTTATAATGATATAAGATTTATTCTATAATCTATGATAGTAGGGGTCAAATAGAAAGCTTTGAAAGTTTTGAGGAGGGAGGGATGGATTAATTGCTATCAGGGAGTACCTCTTGGAGGAAGTTACCCCTGAAATGGGCCCTGAAAGAAAAGAAAAATTTCAATAGATAGAAATGTGGAAATTGTCCAGCTTGGGCATAATACGCACTTTGAGCTCACTGTCTCATTTGGAGTACACAGAGGGTGGTTGATTATTTGGATCCTAGGGATAACCTTATGGTTGACTGCTCCAAACATGAAATCTCATAAGCTTCAGCTGATATGCTTCCCCTTACCAATCAGCCAGCAGACCCAATTAACTTTCAGAAAAGACATTTACTCTACTGGCATATCAAGAACAGAAGTTATCCTACCCCAACCCCAGAAACAAGGAGCACGCCTCCCACACAGACACATGGAGTATAGAGTGGACATGGCAGAGAGTGGGCATGAACTTAAAGTACGGCGGTGGCAAAGTACATGATATGACCAAGGCAATGAACAACTCTGGAGTGGCAGGGCCTCAGTGCCCATTCTTTTGCTGGAGAGTCATCACAAAGTTCACTGAAGGACAAGATGTCATTCTCCCGCCACCAACTGCCTATTGTACATCTAGAACTGGGTGTCCTGTAGACATCTTTAACTAAATATGTCAGTCAGTCAGTCAGTCAGTAGCCATTTATAAAGTACCTGCTATGTGTCAGGCAATGAGTTATGTACTGGGGATACAAAAAAAGGCAAAAGACAGTTTTTGCCTTGAAAGAGCGCCAAGTCTAAAGGGGAAGGAAGCAAGCAGACAAAAATATTCAGACAAGCTATATACAGGAGAAATAGAAAAATAATTAAAGGAGGGAAGACACTAGATTTAAGAGGGGTTGGGAAAGGCTTCCTGTGGAAATTGGGATTTTAGTCGGGACCTAAAGGAAGGCGGGGAAGCCGGTTGGTGGAGTTGAGGAGGAAGGGTGTTCCAGGAATGGGAGATAGCCAGAGAAAATTCCCAGAGCTGAGAGGTGGAATGTCTTGTTCATGGAACAGCAAAAGCAGCCCGTGTCACTATGTGGAAGATCACATTCACAGCTGAGTGGAGGATGGACTGAGTACCTGGGAGGGAGTTTGGTATAAAGAAGATTGGAAAGGTAGGAGGGAGCTAGGTTATTAAGGGCTTTGAATGTCAAACAGAGCATTTTGTATTTGCTCCTGCATGTGATAGGGAACCACTAAAGTTTATTGAATGGGGTGGGGTGGGGGTGGAGGCCATGATCAGACCTGTCACTTTTGTGGCTGAATGGAGGATGGATGGCAGATCTACCAGCTGGCTATTACAGTAATTCAGGTGTGAGGTAATGAAAGCCTGTTCAGAGTGGTGGCAGTGTCAGAGGAGAGAAGGGGGTATATTTAAGAGATATTGTAAAGGTGAAATAAACAGGATTTAAAAGCAAATTGTATGTAGGAGGTGAGAGATAGTGAGAAGTTAAGAATGACACCTTGGTTGGAAGCCTGAGGGACCTGAGGATGGTATTACCCTCTACAGTAATAGGGAAGTTAGAAGGACAGAAGGATTTAAGGTGAAAGGGAAAGTTTTGTTTTGATCATATTGAGTCTAAGGTATTTACTGGCCATCCTTAGGTGGGGCATAGTACTTTGGGTAGGTAGGAGGCACAGTGGATAGAGTGACTGGCCTGAAGTCTGGAAGACTCCTCTTCCTGAATTCAAATCCTAATTTTGGAGAGAGCAGTTTTGGCAGAATGATGAGGTTGGAAGCAGGATCATAAGGGGTTAAAAAGGGAGTGAGAGAAGAGAAAGTGGAGGCACCTATTGTAGATGACTTTTTCGAGGATTTTAGCTATAAAGGGCAGGAGAGGTATAGGATGATAGTTATCAGGAATGCAAGGATCAAATGAGGATTTTTTGAGGATGAGGGAGGTGTGGGCATGTTGGTAGGCGGTACGTAATGAGAAAGTAGATAGGTAGAGACTGAAAATAAATGGAAGAGTGGGGATGACAGAGGGATGGATAGTAAAATAATGAGGGAGGAATAGTAGGATTACCTATTAACTTGTAGGTTGAGATTGTGTAACATAAATTTGTAGAAGGCCCACTTACACAGTTGTGTGATTTTCTACACCTTTTGTTGAATGGATGAAGAGCAGGGTTTGGTAAAGGAAGGCAGAGGCAGAGGTGGAGAGCAAATAGATTATGGTGAGATAAGGGGATTTTGGAATTCTGAAACATGGAGGTGGTACATTGCTGGGTGATGGCAAGAAGAAGGGTATAGCCAGAACTGAAAGACCTGGAATGCTCTTCCTCTTCATCTTTACCTCCTGGCTTCTCTGGCTTCCTTCAAGTACCAGTTAAAATCTCACCTTCTACAGGAAAGCCTTTAATGATTCCCTTTAATTCTAGTGCCTTCCCTCTGTTGATTATTTCAAGTTTACCCTGTATGTATCTTGTTTGTACACAGCTGTTCACATATTTTCTCCCCCATTAGATTGTGAGCTCCTTGAGAGCAGGAACTGTCTTTTACCTTTTTTTGGTTTTGGTATACCCAGTGCCTGGCACATAGTAGCTGCTTAATAAATGTTTCTTGACTGACTTACTGATGAAAAGGAGTGCAGAGTACAAGGGCTGTGGTCTCTTTTACATAGGGCCACATTGCTTCCCTTCAGATACCATTAGCATAAACCAGTAGCCAAGCGAATGATTGAGGCTAAGACCTTTTGTGAAGATGTTCCCAGTTCCAGCTACACAGTCAGTGTAAATGGCTTCTCTTAATCATGTGGTTAGCCAAGGAGAACCGGTTACAGAATATATGTGCACACTCCTTAGTTTCTCCAAGACACTTACTGTGAATCATCATGATTCTCTGGAAGCCAGCTCTCCAGCCTCTCTGCCCTGGGAATTGGCATCAACTGAGCACACTGAGGCATTTTTATGCATGTACCAGTCCCTCTGTTACAAGTGAACATCTGATCTGAAAACATCCTCATTGCTAAGCACCATTGCAACAGCTCAACATCCATTTAATGATATTTTCCCCTTTAATCATTTTGCATCACAGCAAAGGTAATTTAATGTTTTAAGTCTTGAAGTTTTCTGTAACTGCTGGATTGATTCTGTAGTTCGTAACTTACGATATTATCTTTGCTTTTTGTTCCTTCTTCTCACTGATTCTTTTTTTTGGTCACAGTGACAGAGATTATGAGCATTTATCAGCAAAAAATACAGAATTTTACTAGATACCCTAAAACACATAGAAAGTTTAAAACTTTTATGTTGATTCTATGTTTTTGACCTTTTATTCAAAACTGTCATTACTGACAGTATTAACAATGTGTGTATCATTTTTACTGGTTTCCCTTCCATTTCCTCCAGTGCCTTCCTCTATCAGTT